GGCAAGTAATAGGAATATATATATAAGTTGTCGTGATTTTTTGAAAATTTGGAAATGTCATATCTATTTGATGGGTTTGTAACTACCGAAGTCAACAATGAACAAATTACAACCATAAAGATTTGTGGTTGCATATTCATTCCACTTTGTCGAGCTGAGACTCTTGGGGTCCTATTTTGGGACAAAGAGGAAAAAAAAAATCCAAAACTACAACAAAAAAAAATCCATTATATTAGCACTCTTTTTTTTGCTCATAAGCCTTTTGTTCACTACAAGAAAGTCATAATAAATATTAGTTACTAAAAATAATGGTCACTGATTTGACACTTAGTGACTACAAATAGTTGTCACTATATTAGAGATTTATTGACTAAAAATAATGATAATTTAATCTTTTTTTTTTCAGTACCACACATTGTAATGGTCTTGAATAAATTTGTGACTAGAAAAAAATGGTCACTAGGTAAAAAAATATTATGACCATCAAGTAGTGGTCATTGAATCAAAGAGAAGTCAGTTACCAAAATTATCATTCAGGATAAATTAATAACATTTCATTGGATATTTATTCAACTTAAATGACAATAATGCCCTTATTTTGAACCGACGAGAAGTCTCATCTCCATTACGCACAATCCTCACCTCTAGGGTTGTAAACGAACTGAACGTTCAACGAACTGTTCATGAACCGTTCGGCGGGAAGTTCGTTTGTGTTTGTTTATTTAATAAATGAACGAACATGAACACAAATCCTCATTCGTTTAGTTAAACGAACAAACATGAACAATGATCTCGTTCGTTTAATTATGTTCGTGAACGTTCATTTATGTTTTATGTTTACGTTTGTTTATGTTCGTTCACCTAACTTCATTTTATGTTCATATATGCTTAATTGTGTTTGATTATATTAATATATCATATGTTCATATATGTTTTTTTTTTATCTTTGGTCATTTATGTTCGTTCGTTTATGTTCGTTTAACATGTTCATGAACATAAACGAACGAACACGAACAATGTAATTTGTTAAACGAACGAACATGAACAAGAAAACTTGTTCGTTTATCCGTTCGTGTTCGTTTATTTGTTTGTCTAACATAAACGAATGAACATGAACAAGCCCCTTTCGTGTTCGTTTGGTTCGTTTACAGCCCTACTCACCTCCCTTCCTTCTATCCACAATCTGCATCGACCACCGACATCATCGTTACCTTGCCTTCCGTCTTCCGCCAATGTATGTCAACACAAGCTTCTAATACTTACAATTTCATCTTTGCTTCGGTTTTAGGTATTTTCTCAACGCTCATCTTACTTCGTATGACGATCGCTCTTCCAGAAATAATCAATCAGTTCAAATTTTTAATTTTGAATATAGAACATCGAATTGTTGTTAAGTTTAGGTGGATTTCGCTATTGATGAATCGTTACTGGTTTTGTTATAGCTTAATTTCGCTAATCTTAATTCCTTCAATTCTATGAAGTGTTATGAAATGTTAATAGTACAACTCTAATTTGAACCAAACACCCTTGTAGTAGCCAAGACCTGTGTTGCCCATTCGCATGCATACTTTTGATTTAAAATTCTGTATGACATTATCTTTTATCAATCTCTTTTTTAAATACTAAAATGTGCATACTTTTAACGCATGTTGTCGAAATGGTTTTGGTTTGGGAAACTATTCAAATGGAGTGTGTGGTGGTGTTGGGCATGGTGGCAGAGGGAGGAATGATCGGAAACTGTATTTAATTTTATAACTTACTTTATATCATTGAACACAAAACAAATCTTGATTTATTATCATTCATTTATGGAAGTGATGGGATCTACGGGCCTCTTACAAAGCTTGAGTTTATGGATCCATGAAGGCTGTTTGGTAGGATCTGAATTTTTAAGACATCTGAATTTCTAAGAGGGTCTGAATTTTTAAGATCTGAATTTTAAAATGTTGTTTGGTTGGAACATCTGAATTGTTGTGCTGAAAGTTGAAAATGACCGTTTTACTCTTTTGTTTAAAAATAATAATAAATATTAATAAAAGCACAAAAGGTTTGAAGGAAATCACAACTTTTAATCCACTGTTCACAGCTTTTAAATACAAATTCACCTAAAATTCCAAATTACGAAGATGAAACAAGAAATAATCTGTTACAAAATCAAAATACAGCTTTTACACTTTTAATGCAGAAAATTATTAAAAAAAATCCCTTTATAGTTGAAAAACCATCCATCCCTGTTTGATTATTTCTTTTGATTCCTGCAGCAAATTGATACTCCTTTGAAGCCTCTCCCTTTCTGCAGCCACCACTAATGTTGGTTCACCATTCTTTTCAACACAATGTTCTAGTAACCTTCCAAATCAAATTCAACTAGATCAAAGAAATATAATTTCAGTTCGGGATCTCGTAATCGGGGACAACCTCCAAAAATCTATCACGACTCTTATCCATTAACTTGTACCAAGAACTAACATAATCAAGGCACATGTGTTTACATCAGGTTGTTTACAACTTCAAAGACATATATGGATAACCAAGAACTAGTTCAACCACAAAGGCCACAAATCGTTTTTCAAGCTTACATCAGGTTGTATTTCACAAATAAAATTGATTTTCAAAATCTTGATTTCAGAAAATCAACAAGTCGAATATATAAAATCGATTTTCAAAATTTTGATTTCTGAAAATCACATAATCAATTCTGTCCATGAAACCCCAAAAATATCATAAACTTCGAATCCAAAATCAAAATCATGATGTTATTCATATAATCAACAACGCTAGATATCAGAATTTGAATCAAAGCATCTGATTTATAGAGAATCGAAGGTCAAACCTTGAAATTGATTGCAAATGCCAAACCTCGAAATCGATTGCTCCAGACATCAAACCATGAAATCGATTGCTCCAGGGCGGTGGCAGTGGGGAAGACGGAAGCAGAAATAGCTATGGTGGAAGAGGCAGCGACTGTGGGAGGGTGTTATGGGTGTGGTGTCGTCGACGAAGGGAGAAAGAAACAGAGTTCTTAAATCGATTTCATAAAATTGATTTAAAAAAACCTTACCTGATGATGTTGTCTCCGAGTTTTGACGGAGCTGGAGGTACAGGGGGCTCGTGGCGGTGACCGGAACGGAAGGCAGATGGTGGAGGCGGAAGGTGCGCATGATTGAGAGAAGAAGGTCTAGGTGNAGGTCTATACGTGAATAGAAGGAACGGTGGGTAAAAAAGGAACAAGCGTCTCTTATTTTTTTCAGACTCCGTTTCCATATCTGAAATATTAAGAGGGTTTAAAAAAATTAAGAGCCAAAAAAATAAGAGGATACCAAACAATCTATATCTACCTCTTAATTTTTCAATTAAGATGTAAACAAACAAGGCCTCCATCTAGTAGTGACGACTGTTATTTAGTAGTGACAACATTTAGTGACGAAAAAGGTTGTCATAGATTAGTGGAAAGAATACTTTAATCACTATTTAGTTACCGGTTTTATAATTTGGTCACTAATCAATTTTTGTGACGGACCTATAGCGACGAAAAGTGACGACCTAAAGTTTGGTCACTAAATCATTTAGTGACGACTCCTATTGTTAGTGACCATTTCGTTTTCACATTTAGTATAAAGGGTCAACGACCTAAAAAGGTAACGAACTTTGGTCTTTGTCCACATTTAGGTAACCATGTTTTTTTCGTTTATTTGACCATTGAACTTATTTGCCCTGTTCAAAATAGGGTAATATGACTGGTAATTACGATAATATTACCCAATTATGAACAGGTCAAACAAGTTTATTGGTCAAACGTGTATGAAAAAACATGCTTACCTAAATATGGACAAAAACCAAAGTTTTTTATCCGTTTTGGTAATATTGGACAAGAACCGTTTTAGGGACTGTACCCTGGGATCAGGCTCTGACAGTCAATGAACAATTAAGTTAGGCTTGGTCTAACTCAGTTCAGTCTCAACTAGTCATGGGCTAGGTTGTGTTGCTAAGTCTTTACAACACATACAACCTAACCCTTTAAGCATATACAACTTAGCCCCTAACTAGTTGGGCCTAAACTGGGTTGGCCCAAGACCTGACCATCTCCTCACACACAAGACTGGACAACCCAATTTCATGTCACATCAATGGATCTTATGACTACTTGTATTTAACATAAAGAACCAAATATTACCAAAATGGGTAAGGAACTTTGATTTTTGTCCATATTTAGATAACCATGTTTTTTTCGTACACATTTGACTAGTAAACTTGTTTGACCTATTCATAATAGGGTAATGTTGCCGCTAATTACCAGTCATATTACCTTATTTTGAACATGTCAAACAAGTTCAATGATCAAATGTGTACGAAAAAAACATGGTTACCTTAATGTGAACAATGACCAAAGTTCGTTGCCTTTCTAGTTCATTAACCCTAGTATAAAATGCATACCAATTGTATTTAGGTTAATAATATGGAAATTTTGATTCTAACATTTTGGTTTGCAAGTTCAAAAAGATCTTAATATTTAAGAGGTACTTTATGATTGCATTTGTTATGAGGTGCACAATTAGGAATCTATGATTTTATTTCTGTTTGCTTATGTATTAATGAAGGTATGATTATATTTGTGTATACTTAAATCTTTAGCAAGCAACTGAAAAAATATCAACATTTTCATATTTTTATTGATCTTTGGTACTTTAAATTTGAAATTGCGAGTAATATCAACATTATTTGGTAGAGTAAATTATAATTTTGGACCTTGAATTTAATTGATCTTTGTAGTTTTGGTCTAAAAAATAGTTATCGTGTAATTTTGGTTATTATTTCAAAGCTTTTAAAATATTTTGATCCTATTACAAGTAAAAAGATTGTCGTAAGGTCGAGGTTATAGGATGGTGGTGACACCTAAATCTAATAACAATAAAAAAATGAAATAAATAACAAATTATTCATAAAAAAAACATCATAGGACAACATAGTCATTTTACAGGGACCAAAAGTGTTGAATCTTAAAAAGGGACTAAAATTGCTATACTAAACTTTTGGGATCAAAACTACAAAACTAATTAAACTCAAGGACCAAAAATGTAACTTACTTTTTTTTTATCCTAACAGCAACAAATTTATATTTTGACAAAATTGCAAAAATGGTCCCTGTGGTATGCATTTTTTTGGGGTTTTAGTCCAAACCACGACTTTTTTAGCTTTGTGGTCCTTTTGAGCTAGTTTCATTGCGGATTTGGTCCCTCGGTAAATTGAAATGACTTTAATACCCTTGGGTATTTATTTTCTATTTCTAAATTCATTTTTTTAAGTTTTAATAATTACTTATTCATTTTAATAATTAAAAACTGAAAGGGTCATCTCTCTCTCTCTCTCTCTCTCTCTCTCTCTCTCTCTCTCTCTCTCTCTCTCTCGCAAAACATGAAGGAGAATAACAGATGTTATTCCTACCTTTCTTTTTCTAATGTTCTTCTTGATTCAACTTTCCTTCCCTCTGATGGAACCTCTCAGGCTTTGCTTTGTAAGAAGTTGCTGGTAAAGATAAGCTTTAAACAGAGCTTCATTTCTGATAATTTTTGGCATGCTTCTGCTCATATACATACAAAAACTTGTATCTCTAAATATACCACTACTTTCTTTCTCTAAAACTGCACTAATTTCTCTTTGTATAAAATATATAGTTGGATTGATTTCAAGGTATGAAAGCTAGGTATGGAGGTGGATGAAATTGAAAGACAGCAGTTACTTCTCTACATAGATTGGGATTTTTAGGAAGGATTGATTCAAACCCAAATTGGGATTTTCAAGAAGATGATAGAGTGACCAATTTCACCATAAAATCTAAGGCAAATGACGAAGAGGGTGATTGCAGACACCGGAATCGATGCCCCTCATCCCACCCACCACGATTTTGATCGAACTCCGACCATTGTTATCGTGTGATTAATTCTGCTTGCTTCAATTTTCTCCCTTTTGTGGGTCTCGATTTTCTCCGGATTGCACTCGACTTCAACATTAAGGGGAACACGATGGCAATGTTTGATTTGAAATCCGACAATCGGAATCGGGGTCTGTACCATTTTCGTTTTCTCTAAAACCTCACCTACAATTTCAAACCGTTGTTCTTCATATTTTTGATTTACAAGCCTGAATCGATTTCAAAGGAAGATTAGGGGTAGGCATAGAGGGAGATGGATGGTTTCAATTCATCGAAAATGGTAGACGGTGGTGAATTTGTGACTGGTTACAGGGGAGGCTGCTGAACAGTAAGATGAATCGATCTTCATGTTCATGTCCTAGGATACATCTATGACCTTTGGTTTTTACTCTGGAAAATCATGTGTGAATGGACCCAAATTATTTCATATATGGGTGTATGTAAACTAAGAACTGAAGAAATCCCTTTCATCTATAATTCTCAAAAACAATGTTTCACGATTTCATTTTCAATGACTTCTGTTACCAACTCATTCAATGTTACCTGAATATTTAATTGATTGAAATCATACAAACATGTAGTTAAAAAAACTAGAAAATCGAAAGCAATTGTGCAAGAAGACAAGAAGTGTGTGTGAACCAAAAACTAGTTCTTGATCTGGGTTTCTGCCAGGGGAGAGAGAGAGAGAGAGAGAGAGAGAGAGAGAGAGAGAGAGAGAATGCCCTTTTTTATTTATTAATTATTAAAATAGATAAATATATATATTAAATTAAAAAACATGAAAAGAAAAATGAAAAATAAATACATGAGGGGCATTACAGTCATTTTAGTTTACTGAGGGACCAAATATGCATCGAAACTAGGCCAAAAGGACCATCAATCCAAAAAAGTCGAGGTTTGGACCAAACCTCAGAAAAAATGCATACCACAGGGACCATTTTTGCAGTTTTGTCTTATATTTTTTACTGGTACTAGCAATGCATTTTAATTTTATACACGTATTAGCTATCTACTTGCTAGGGATGAAAATGGGTTTAAAACCGAACCGGTTTACCTGGACCTGGAAAGCCCGGAACCCGAAATTCACGGATTATAAGAACCAACAACCAGACCGGTATACTGTAACCGGTTCCGGTTCGATTCCGGGTATCAATCGGGTATAGTGGGTATGAAATCGGTTGGAAACGGAAATTGATAATTGGAACCGGATTCATGTATTACACCCGGAAAGACCCGGAAACCGAAATTTTTGAACAAAAGAAAAAAAATGTTGTAACCCCGAATATTTGCTAATAACAAGAAGGGAGACCGTTGTTTGACAAGTTATAAAATCTTCACTCGTAGGGGGTTACCACATCTCGTGCAAAAGAACGATCTATCAATAAGTTTTATAAAAAAATTGTATATCATTTTGGAGTGTTGTAAATGACTTAATACATGACTCAATACATATTCTGAGGGTTGTAAATGACTCAGTACATATCCAAATAAGATGTTTCTGGAGTCTATAACTATTGTCAAACTGTGAACTACATTTAAAAAAAAATCAGCCCGAAAGGATTTATAACGAAGCAAATATGACAGTTTAAAGCTAAAAAAATTCAGCAACAATGTTGTAATAGAAACAAAACAGAACTGATATCTCATTTTTGGAGGGCTGTAAGTGACTCAATACACATGCAAATAAAGTGTTTCTGTAGTCTGTAACTATTGCCAAACAGTGGCCTATAATTTTAAAAAAAAAAATCAGCCCGAACGGAGTTATAACGAAGCAGATATGACAGTTTAAAGTTAACTAAAAATTCAGCAACAATGTTGTAACAGAAACAAAACAAAACAAAACCGATATCTCATTTTTGGATGGTTGTAAGTGACTCAATAGATATGCAAATAAGGTGTTTGTGGAGTCTATAACTATTTCTAAAGAGTGAACTACAATTTTTTTTTCTAAAAAAAACAGCCTAAGTAGACTCACAACGAAGTAAATATGACAATTTAAAGCTAACTAAAAACTCAGCAACAATACGAAAAAAAATTATGGAATAGAATAAGAAATTTTTTACTTCAAAGCCTATTTTCTTACGAGTCATTAAATTTTAATATTTTATCAGATTTGAATATCTGCCAACATTCCTTCGAAACAGTTGTTGCTTTTTGTTAAACCGTCTTATAATGTTCATTTCGAAATACATTTATTAATTAGAGAATGGTTAGATGGTTAACCTCATCAACAATCCACTGAAAAAACCAAGAACTGGTTAACTAGATTATTGGCTTTAGGTTCAAAATATTAATAAATTGATATTTTTGGTTAGCCA